ACATCGGGGTGGGGGTAAGACTGAGAAAAACTGGATAAATTATGTTTACTGCATTGAAGTCTATGAGGGAGAGAACAGTTTAAAAGTAATTATACTTTAGGGCATTATGTTTATCATAAGAGTACGGAATGAGGGTTGCAGAGTGGATTATATTTGGGGTGGGGGTGGGGATGGGAGGGTGCGGGGGGGATTGTGGACCAATGAAGGAGTTCTTCTTTTGCTTTTCAAGGAGAGGAGCGAACTGGGGGTGGGGGTGGGGGTGTGTGTGGGGTGGGCGGGGGAGAAAAGTGCAACAATGAATGAATGGAATTCCAAAATCTCTGTAGATGTTCATTGAAATTAATAATTTAAAAAAAAAAATCAGTGGTTTGAACCTCTCAGCTGCTTGATTGGGAAAGACAAGGAAGTCAGTCCCATCAAAGGTTTATAAACTCAGACAACGTATAAGCATATCCTTCTCCATTTCAAAGGGCCTGATGAGCCAAGATGGTCTTCACAGTAGCAGTTATGGTTGGGGATGTAAATTAAGTTTATATCCACCTTTACTCATGAAGAATGATACAAAAAGGAAATCTTCCACGGATGGGGGTGATTTGGTCCCATTATGGAAAAGAAAAATACAGATCATTTTTGTATTTGTGCATAGATGTAAAAAAAAAAAAAAAAATCTCACCCCAAATGCAGAAGACAGGTAGGTGCTTCAAATGTCACCAGTCAGAACAATTGAACCCTGTGTAAAATTCTAGACAGGATCCCTGATAAAAAGCCAAGGATTATGATAAAGGACACTTTGGGGACAAAAAGCCAAAGTTGAATTTGATCTGTGGATTAAACAGTAGTGTCAAGAGAGAGTTCAAGGGACCTAATACCTAAGGAGCTACGCTGCCAAACCAAAGACAACAGTTCAAATCCACCAGCTGCTCGGGGTGGGGGGTGGTACGCAACTTCCTCCACACGATTTTTTGTCTCTAAGAACCCGCCAGAGGGTCAGCTGTGAGCTGGTTCTGACTTGAGAGCATTAACAAGAGCATAGTATCAACATTTGTTTCCTGAATTTGATGGATGTCATGTGATTTTGAAGGTGTGTTCCGGTGCTAGACAACACACACTTTAGCTTAAGGATACTTAAGTGCCTTTTAAAATGCTTTGAAAAACAGTTGTCTCTATTGTGTCTGTTCACTGCCAGTGAACTGATCCTAACTCATAGCAACCCTCCCTCAGGGCTGAGACTGGAAATCTTTATGGGAAATAGTGCTCATCTTTATCCCAAGGAGGCGCTGGTAGATTTGAACCAATTTTAATTAAGGAAAGATGACAAAAACACTTCTCAAAGACAAACCTGAGAATACCATTTACATGCAAACTCTCTGGATATTGTTCCAGATGGTTCTGAACCTTGTGAGAGTCCAAGAAAGAGAATTTCCAGCTAAGGGATTTTGAAATCTATATACTCTTAAAGGTGCTCACTATTTATTCTGATGTAAACCCCAAATCACGCTGAAGTGTTATTTTTAATCACTAGATTTTTATATACTATCTACAATGGATCCCTAAACAATTTCAAGATAAAGTCCCCCAATCAGGACTTACCTCTATTTCTGTAATCTTTTCAGAAGGGTTATCAATTAGGAAACGTGCTAAGGTCCCAGGAGTGGTTCTGTAAGTCAGAATGATTGAGTTTTTAGGGTCCTGGCACCACTGAATAAAGAGGTCCCTTGAAAATCCACATTCCAGGTCGGGCTGGCTGGCAAGGACAACTTTGGGGCTAGGTACTCGAGCCAAGTCAGAGAGACCGTGACATAAAGACAGATGGCGAAACTGGAACGGATTATTTCTTTTGTCTTCAAAACATCTCATCAATTTATCACTCATCCACTCTACCTATACAGGAGGAAAATATTACATTAATTATAAAATATCTCGAGTGTATTCTACAGCAGCAGATGAGGTCAAGTTCAAACGTTGTTTTTAGCTAGGGAAATACTTTTAGACCTTTCTGACAGGCAGTTTACTTTCTGCACACGGTAGATCTTTCTGTTCCACTTCAGATCCTCCTACCCCCGATTCATCCCTCATCATCTGTTTTCGCTATTCCACTTGTCACCTTAGATCTTTTTAAGACATGATTATCTAACGCCCAGAGACAGCTATTTCAGGAAAAGGAGTTTATTCAAAAGAAAGAGAATAAAGAAATCTAACACTTTATGAGGTTATATGTTCGTCGTCCTTATTTTACACTTTGGTACACTGAGATTTAGAGAAGAACTTGCCCAATCTATAAAACAGAGACAAAAAAGAAATCACTTCTTGAGGTATAGAAAGATTAAATGAAGCGCTGCATGTAAAGCCCTCATAGCAGGCTGTGGCTGATATTTTTAGCTGTTACTATGGAGAAGGACACCATGCTTGGAAAAGTGCAGGGATGGTGAAGGAGAGGAAGACCTTCAACCAGGTGGACTGACACAGTGACTGCAGCAACGGGCACAAGTGTGTCAGAGACTGTGAGGCGCCACAAGACAGGACGGGGGTCAGTTGTGTAGCTCACTGGGTCACTAAGGGTCGTACTCAACTCGACGGCACCTAACAACAATTATTACTGACAACCTCTTCTACAGAAATATAAAATCAAAGGGATGATTCAGACGCTATCCCACAAGCTCCAATCACTGCAGGGCTCTTCACATGATAAACACTAAGATGAAAACAAACCTGGGACTTGGAAAACTCCACCACGTTGTAGCTCACATTATTCAGCAGCGCCAGCGAGTAAACGCCCAGGCCTGCATCTTTCGTTCTCCAGATCTGATCGAGAAGCTGTGCGAGTTCCAGGACTCGGCCTGCGGTGTCCACTGCGATTAACACATTCCCGTCACCTCGAAGCGTTTCCAAGACGTTAGCTAGGGGGAAAAAAAGAGAATCCCGATAGCGCAGAGCTGTGTAGTGAACCGTTCATCTTCCTTTTTCCTATAAAGACTAAGATGCATGAAAGTGCAATTACTGGGGCTGGTACCAAATGTGTAAAGGCAATCAGGTTATTTTAACAACCTTTAACTGTTAAATATATTTTCACAGGGATGACAAGCAATGCTGCTAATGCTCCATTTTTTCATGAAATATTGTCAGTGGTTCCCAAGCCCTCTCAGATCTCAGTGCGTACACTAAATGACAGAGTGCAGTAAGTGCACAGGACACACGACGGGACAAATGACGAAGCCAAAGAGAACTAACCTGGACTCCCAGGCTACCTGATCTGAATGGTTCGCCCGGTGAACTCCGTTAGAATGATTCCCCAAATGCACATAGACATACGGGTTAGGCATGGAGATAACAGATCACTTACATCTATATGTATTTATTCAACATATGTGCACCTATACATCCTTATGTATACAGAGTATGTATGCATGCCTGCAGAAAAAAATGAAGCCAACTCCCTTCAAACAAAAGTATCTTTTTCAAAAGTATCTTTACAAATAGCTTTTCTCACTTTAGATACAAGTCATACAAGTCTGCTTGGAAATATTTGTTAAGTCAATTCAAAGCAAAACAAGAGCCAAAAACTGAAGAGCTTTCTAAAGTCCAAGTAACATAAAACCAAACCCAAACTCCCTCCAGTCAGGTCAGTTCTGGTTCTGCCCCCAGGGTTTCCAAGGCAACAGAACCTCACAGAAGCAGACTGCCACACGGCTTCTCCCAGGGCAGCCAGCAGCTTCAAACTGCCACACTTCCGGTTAGCAGCTAACATTCAGCCCCTGAGCCTCCAGGACTCTCCTTAATATAATGTTGTTGTTAAGTGTTGTCTAGTCAGTTGCAGTTGGTAGTGGCCCTACGTTCAACACATGTAAACCCTGTGTCATTCTCACAAGCTCCACCGTGTTTAAGCTCACCGTTGCAATCACTTTGTCAATTCATCTCAGGAAGTAACCTTCTCTCCTGCTCTGACCCTCAACCTTTCTAAGAATCAGTCCCCTTCCAAGGACTGGCCCTTCTTGACAACATGCCCAGAGTATGTGAGATGAAGTCTCACCATTCCTGTCTCTAAGAGCACTCTTGAGTGCACTTCCGGCAGGACAGATTTGTGTGTACCTTAGCAGTCCATATAGTATATCCAATATTCTTTGTCAACACAACTCCCTGAAGTATTATCCTTCGTCAGTCTTCCTTACCTACTGTCCAGCTTTCACATGCACGTGACGCAAATGAAAATGCCAAAGCTTGGGTCTGACCTGCCTTAGTCTAAACTTTCTCTGTGGCTCTTTCTAGAGGCAAACAGCAATAACTCAGAAGTATCTCTTTAAAACCAAGGAGACTAGATTAACATATAAAACTCCAACATCAAAATTAGTGCAAATTTTGTACTCTATCTCCTTTGGTCATTTGCCTTTTAGAGTTTAAACGGTTTAATAGGTTTGCCTGAGGTCCGTAAATAGTTCAGCACTGCACAGCAGTAAAAGAGGAAGGCCATCAGTGAGAGGGATTGAAACAGGAATAGCAACACTGGGCCCAAGTATAGCAGAGATCACGAGGGCAGCTCAGGATCAGTCCAGGTTTCATTGCCTCGTACGTAATAGCTTTCTATGAGCTGGAGACATTACAGCACCGACGGGCAACTACAGAGAAACAGTGAGGACCAGGAAGAGCCAGCTGTGTGCTGGATGACAGGGCGAATCCGATCTTTAGAACTATCACACAAACCTATCTTCAAATTAACTAACTTAAGCATTTCCTTATATATTAATACATCCACATAACACTTTAAAGGAGAGAGACAGAGTTAGCTGGTTTCTTTTGATCAAAAAAAGTGATACACAGAATAAACAACAACTGGTGGAATCATGCAGGTGTGCTGCTCGTTGAGAAGCATGTTATGTGATACATACTCAGAAGCTGCTCATCTCTCTGCTTCCGCCTCGGCTGCACGTAAGTGGCATTAAACGAATCCGTGATAAGGAGAGAGGGTCTGCTCAGCATTTCCAAGGAGCATCCATTTAAGTGGCTACAAAAGGGGTTCAAAAAATGAAATTTTTTAATCACTTAAAATAAAGAGTAGTAACTTCTCTCACTCCAAACAAGGAATTTGTTGAAGAGGTGTTTTTCTTCCCCTAACTATATGCTCCCCAACTGAACAAGCGTGGAAGGAAGAGTGGTGTCCACTTCCATAATAGCTTGCCTGCGGAAACCCTATGAACTTGGAGAGAGGATGAAAGGCACCCAAGCGTCAAGGACTCTCCTTCATAGGGTCGCTATGAGTCGCCTGCGACTCGACGGCACTTAACAACAATAATAACAACAACTATATGCTTAAACTATTAAAAATATATCCTCATTATTAAGAGGAAAATAAAAATCTTCTACAAATACCATCAATCATAGGCAGTTAATACAATATTTGGGTGCATTTCCCCTTCTATATAAGTAACTTGTTCTATTCAAATGTATTTTACAAAATACATAAATTTGATTTCTATACATAACATTGGCATGTGACGGACATTTCTTCAAAATCAGTTCTATATACCAGTGTTTTCCCATGATACCTAAAGTTTTCTTTTTTCCTAAACCTAAATCTTAACAATTACGAAAAGCTTTCTATTGTGTCTCCACAGCATTGACTTGATAGTTTCCTTTTATTGATTATGTCAGTGGGTGGTCTTTAACATTATTACCATTATAATTAATCTCTCAGACTAATTTTGCAAAAAAGTATCACTTGTATTTCTCATTGCTTTGGAGACATTTTCATAGAAATGTATCTCTCCTGCAATATGCAGTAATTTTAAAAACATTTACTCTCCAATTACGGAGTCCTGGTTTATATAAGAACCAGGTTTCTAACCTTCTTTCCAGAGAATGAAATGGCACCAAAGGGATTGCTTCTCTTTTTTGTATTGCTATACTTACATCTCCCTCTTGTGGTTGAAATCCACGGCATAAACAATTTCTTCTTCTCCATCTTTGACGATTTTCCATATTGTTCCCCCAATCATATGGCCAGCTGGCAGAGGTGTGATAGACAAGCCATGCCCTTTGCCTGTGTCAAAAACATAGTGGCAACACTCAGACTTCTTTGCCAAAACTCCATCATTTCCTTCCAAGTTATCTTTCACAGGTAATATGTGTCTCATGCCTTGTCTAGAATGTAGTCTAAAGGCACTGAATCAAGTAGCACATTATGAAATTCTTAATAAGTCTATGGAAACACTTAAATCTGCTATTCCATCAGCAACATACACGCTTCAGAATAATTTACTCTACATGGCGCTTCAGAATAATTTACATGGCACTGTCAAATCTAGACGTAGCAAGTTATCAGGTATTTGAAATACATTTTTAGTAGTCCTTTTAACAAATAAACATCATGATATTAGCTGTCTGAGTCTTGTTTTTCCCTCCCGAGATCACAGATTAGTTGAAAATTCTTACAACTGCACTGTTTTCCGTGTCTATGCTTAGTAAAAAATTCGGTGTGTACCAGTGACTGGGGAACTGAGGGTGGATGTGTCAGAGACAATAAGGTTGGCACAGGATAGAGAAGGGTTCAGGGCTGTTGTACACAGGGTCACTAAGCAACTCGACAGCACCTAACCACCACCACCACCACCACCACCACCACCACCACCACCACCAGGGGCTCTCCTGAGTGATTCTGCTGGCAGGAGGTGTGTCTGTACAGGTAACTGAGTATTCAAGGTAAGCAGACTTTGCATTTTACCACACTTTCAAAATCTCTTTTCTTTTATTTGTTGAAGAAATACCTATTCCTCACTACTAACAGAAACTTCTAAAGAGCTTCTTTTGTGTGAAATAATCTACTCTGTATTGTACAAAGAAGGATATTAAAACCCAAATTATTTGCTGGACAGAAATGAGAACGTTTAGTTAGGAAAATATAACCCTGCATATGAAATACATTTTGGTCGTCTGGAATGTTTGAGATTATTAACCACTTCTTATTATTGTTTCTCAGCTTCACTGGTACCATTCTTCCCGAGTTCCTGGCTCCATGGCTTTCTAGTGCTTCCTTTTCTGTCTGCTCATGGAGCTTTATTTCTTGGTGCTCCATTTAGATAGTGAGGCTCGCAAGGTAGATAAGGGAGCACCGGTGGCCTAGTGGCAAGAAGTTGGGTTGCAATCCTGAAGGCACACGGTTCGAGGCTACCGGCTGCTCCACAGGAGAAGGATGGGCAATCTCCTCCAGTGTGATTAACTGCCTCTGAAAATCCACCCGAGGGTCAGCTATGGGTCGGTTCCAACTGGACAGTACACAATAACAATATAGATAACAGAGCTCTGATAACCAAATGCTAAGAAGGTGCACTGCAAACCCCAAAGGCACACAGTTTGAATCTACCAGCTGCTCCATGGGTGAAGGATGGGCAATCTCCTCCCATTTCATTTCCTGCCTCTAAAAATCCACTAGAGTCAGCAATGGGTCAGTTCTGACTTAATGACACATCACAACAACATATGCAATAACATAAAAGTAAAAAGATACAGCACCTCTGCCTCACCTCCACCACATCCACCTGTCAACACTACCTTGTCGCCTCAACCAGTGAACTCCTCGGGAGGATCTGGTCTCCGAGCTACTCGAGTCTCCAGATGGAGCCTGATATGTTAAGCACTGCAACTAAAGGAAGAGCTTTTTAATGTCCAGTGCTGGAATCTAGTCACTTTCAACTCTGTGCTCCAAGTGCCCTCATACTCCAATCACACTATCTTCTCATCAACCACTCTGTGTCCTCCACTGCTCAGATCCTAGGGAGCATCTGGTCACCTCACGGCAGTCTTGGGCATCACACATGCTGTTATGTGCTGTCAAGTTGGAACCGACACTCCTGACCCTTCACGGTGTTTTCAGAGACCGGCACTCGCACAGGAGAATGCCCATCTTCCTTCTGCAGAGCCACTGGTGGATTTGAACTGTGTGCTTTTGGGTTGGCAGCACAACTCCCTACCACTAGGCCACTAGCGCAACACACACGGTAAACACTAAGTAAATTTTTCCTGATTTTAAAGTGAAAAGGCCTAGTTGTGAATTTACTTGGTATGTAATCTGGAATATTTTTAAATCCAGGTGGCTAAGGGGAAGTTCAGAGTTCTGTGTCAAGGCAATAGCTAACGTTTAGTCTTCAGATCACAGTGTCTATAATGTTTACTGTAATTCCTCCATTAAAGTACATCAGTACTGTTATCTGCTACTGGAAATTATTAACCTTTCAAATTCACAATCTGGGAGAACTTCAGCTGCTGGATTTTATCAAAGGCTGCATCCACGTCATCCAGTGTGAAGAGTGTGAAATCTTCCGTATTGTGTCGAGACTGAAAGGAGAACACAAGGGCGAGATATTACAAACGGCCACTGCAGGATGAGCAATCTGAAGGCCCACCCGTGAGATTACCTGGTAGAGATCATACATGAACATCTGCCCCATCTTGTACACCGGAATAGTTGCGTAGATGGCACAGTTCAGCCCCATCTTCCCGACAGCATACGGGAGCGCGCCGAGATGGAGGGGGTCCGGGTGTGACAACAGCACGGCGTCAATCTGGTGGACATGCCTAGGACACAATCAAATCCACCACGCTCTTGAATCTTGCTTTCAAGGGCAAAGAGAGGCTTTTAAAAAGTGAGCTGCCAGAATCCTGATCCCTCCCGCTGGTCTGGATTAAAGAGGACACTGGGTCAAAGGATAAAACCAAGAGCTAAGACTATGATACCCACAAATTTCAATTTGCACCACTGCACACATATCCAAATTACAGCTATAAATTGCACCTACAAATCCAGTGTCTCAATACAAGGAAAGTAGGAGAGGGGAGGAGGGTGAAAGAAAAGCTGGAGACACGGCCAGTAATTCTGAATGGCTAGCTTGTCAACTATTAGTTTAAATTCAGTAACTCTGCTTGGAACTGCAGAAATTACTGAGGAGAGGATGTATCATCAGAACTTTCTTGTGTCTTCCTGCCTCAGGGTTTTAGGATGGTGGCTGGTGATATATTCATTAGAGTAAAAATTTGAATGAACCTGGGAAACACAGACTATCACTGACAAAAGATGTTAACCAGAGAATGCTTCTGCTTCTGGTCTAAACTGTTTATAGATTTAAGTGCTCTTTCCATCCGTGATTGGTATGTTGTTCTGTTTGCCATCAAGTCAGAAATAACCCAAAGTTGATCCTCCAGCAGCTTAATCTCAAGGGAGGAGACTGCCCAGCCTTCCCCCAGGAAGCAGCTGGGAGAGTCAAACCAACTGCCTTCAGGACTGCGATGCAGCTTCCTACCGCTGCTAATGTAACTGAATGACCCCTTTGTAGGATCCTTTAGCATCTCACCGCACTCATCCTGAAGACCAATTCTCAACACCTAGGAGCAGGTGACACAGAAAGCAGAATAAACGTGGTTTGATTGTACAACTGTCACATGAAACCCTTTGCCTTTTCTTGACTCTTAAGAACTTAGTGTTACTCTTTCCTCAAGTCCAGGTACAAAAATTCCAATTAAGATTTAATTGAAGATTTTGCTGGATTTTATTAAGACAGCTAGTAAGTCAATCAACATATAACAAGTTCAGCAGTCAAGCAAAAAATAAGCAATGCAGTAACAAGAAAAGTGATTGATTAAAAAGCCTCGAAAATGGAAAGTGTAACTTACTTCCTCAGGGAGTCTATGATATCCACAGAGAAATGCTCATCCCAGCCGCAGTCCAACAAAAACCTAAACTCATCCACTTGGAGGAGATAGCAAAGGGCAGACTCTTCCCGGACCCCTGACAGGGTGGTTAACTTGATAATAGATGTCATCTTCTTAAATCTTTTGGTCCAGTAACAATAATCTAAAAGGTCCTTTCAAAAGAAAAAAATAATTAAGTGAAAGAGTAGAGTTTAAAATATAAAACTGACAAAATTATAACAAATTTTTAAGGGCACAGAAATTCCCTAAACATGGAAAGTAAACCATTTTAAGACCCATCACCACCACTGTTAAGCTTGAAAAATGTAATCATAAGTTTACATGTTCTTATCTAAAATACCTACTGTTGTTGTTTTGTGTTGTCAGTCGCTTGCGACTTGTGACCCCATGTACAACTGTTCTGAACCCTGATCTATCCTGAGCCAACCTTCTCGTCCTTGACACACCTACCCCCACGAACCCAGTCACTGAGTCAATCCATCTCATCCAGGGTCTTCCTTTCTTCCACCGTCCCTCCACCCTCCCAAGCATGACGTCCTTCTCCTAAGACTGGTCCCTCCTTGCAACATGACCAAAATATGTACGATGAAGCTTCAGAATCCTTGTCTCCAAAGAGCAGCCTAGTTTCACCCTCTCTAGGACGAACTTCCTTCTTCTCCAAGCAGTCCATGGTATATTAAATATACTCCTTCAGCACCAAAACTCAAAGACATCAATTCTCCTGTCATCCTTAGTCACTGTCCACCTTTCTTATGCATATCAAGTAATTGCAAAAACCATGACCTGGATGAGGTGCACCTTAGTCTCCACACCGACATCGATGCTCTTCAGTACTCTAGAGAAGTCCCTGACAGCAGACTTTCCCAATGCAATTTGTCTTTTGATTTCCTGACTACTGGTATCGAGAGTTGACTGTGGAGCCAAGCAAAGTGAAGCTGTTAATCTCAAGCTCTTCACCGTCTATCATGATGTTGCCCATTGGCCCAGTGGTGAGAATCACATGCTACGGGCAGGGAACAACAATTGGTTGCTTCTGCAATTGGGGAATGTCTTTCACCTGCTCTCTTCTTTAAAAAAGATCTATGATTATATAAAATTCAGTGAAAAGTAGGTAAGCGTTGTAATCAGACAGGCACACATTTGAATCCACACACTTCGATAATGAACCTTTCTTCAAATCAACCTTTCTTCAAGCTCTGCACTCCACTCTATAAAAATATATAGACACACACGCGCAAACATACACCATGTTCTGGAAAAGAAAAAAATTATTGCTGTAGAGTCAGCACGCCTCACAGTGAACCCCCCACTGGGTTTCCAATCAGGAGAGAGATGCTTGTCTTCCTCCCGAGGAGCCGCTGGTGAACTTGAACCAGCAGACACATGGCTTTTCGGTTAGAAGGGTGACTCCGCATGAATGGTACCACCCGAGGGCCTCGATGAAACAGTGTAAGATCTGAAATGTGTAAATCACCTAGAGGACAGACGGGCTCATTGCCAGTCCCACAGTACATGTCTGCTAAATTAATGAACTCATCTTTCAAAACCATGAATTACTTTACTTTGCTTTAATTTTTTTTCTTTTGTAATTACTATAGCCTTTGCAATTACGTGCTATGCATCAGAGAGTTGGACAGTGACTAGGGATGACAGAAGGAGAACTGATGCGTGGTGCTGGAGAAGGGTGCTGAATAAATACACCATGGACTGCTAGGAGTACAAACAGGTCTGTCCTGAAGAAGGTGAAGCCGGAGTGCTCCTTGGAGTCAAGGATTCTGAAGCTTCGTCTGACATACTTTGGGCATGTTGATCCTTGGAGAGGGACATCATGTTTGGGAGAGTGGAGGGACGGCACAGGAGAGGAAGACCCTGGATGAGATGGATCGATTCTGTGAGTGGAGTGGTGGGAATGTGTTTGAGATGGCGAGGTTGGCACAGAATAGAATGGCGTTTAGGGCTCTTGTACAAAGGTCACTATGAGTTGCAAGCGACTCGATGGCACATAACAACAACAATTATAATTATTAGTTTACATATCTTTCTCCTTTAAGAGAGAGTTCCTTGATAACAAGCTATGTGGCCTTTCTCCTTCCCACAATATGCAAAAATACAACAACAAAAACCATATGTATATATACTTTTTGTTTGTTTGACTCCGGCAGCTGCTCCATGGGAGAAAGATGGGCAATCTCTTCCAGTGTGATTTACAGGCAAATTTATTAAAATAACATAAATACTTTCTCTAGGAGGAATTTCACATTAAGAGTTGCAGTAGATTGTTAGCCACTGGCAGCAGCTCGAAAACATGACACACACAGAGCACTCAATCCAGACCTGACGGCCTGATGGCTGGAATGCCTGCTCTGTGTAGTTCAAAGTCTACTTATACTCGGGACCTCAAAGGGCTGCAAGCTCTTAAAAAGATGGTTAGGAACTATTTGTTACCAAAGTGCACACTCACAATAACATTTCAGATTTTGACCGTAACAGTACATTATACTTTTCTTGACAACTTCAATACTTTAAAACACATACATATGTGGGAAGGAGACAAGGTCACTGTCAGTGCTGCTTCTGCAGTGCCACTGGGTTGGTTAACTACCAACAAAGGTTCAAAACCAAGGGCCAAACCATGTTCAACATCCAGGGACCACGATAACCGTAAGGTCCTCCCCACGATCAGTGACATTCTACAACAGTATTCTGTTTCCCTCAAGAGAATCACTCCTCTCTATAATCATTCATTCTTTTACTTGGTTTGTCAGTTCCCTTCAAAAAAATGTGGGCTCCATGAAAATAAAACCTTCTCTATTTTTATTCCCATTATATCCAAATGTCTGCACAGTACCTAGCATACTGTTGTGATTTGCTATCAGAAGAGACCCACGGCTCACCCTCCAGCAGGCTCTCAGAGGCTGTAAATCACAGATGAGGAGACTGTCCACCTTTCTCCTGTGGAGCAGCTGGTGGGTTTGAACCAAAAGACTCTGGATTAGCAGTGCAACTGCTTACCCAGTAAGCCACCAGAGCTTCCTTAATATCAACGGTAGTCAATAAAGGTCCCTCAAATAAATAAGTGAAGCACGGTTAGTGGTATATGCACCCAGTGACCTTTTGTTGTTGTTGTGTACCGCAGGGTGAGAACGACCCAGAGATGACCCTCAGGTGGGTTTTCAGAGGCAAATCATTGCACAGGAGGAGACTGCCCATCCCCCTCCCGAGTAGCAGCTGGTGGCCTCAGACTGCATGCCTTTGGGATTGCAGCAAAGCTTCTTACCACTAGGCTACCAGTGTTTTTAGCACAGCATGAATAGATAAGTTGTTTATGCAGAAAAGACTAAAGTTGTCAACGATTGCATTTTCCTTGGATCCACAAACAGCCCCCATGGTAGCAACAGCCAAGAAATTCAACAGCTTGAGAAAATGTGCTGCTAAAGGTCTCTTGCAATTGCTTAATGGTGTCAGTTTAAAGACTAAGGGGTGCCTGATCCAGTAATTTGAAATTGCTTCACACGCCTATAAAAGATGGACAATTAAGAAGGAAGACTGAAGAATCCATACCAGGAACTGCCAAAGGAACAAACAGATATGCCTTGAAAGTACAGCCAGAGAGGCAAGAACGGGCAAACTTTCTTACATAATCTGAGCCTGTTCCTAGAAAAGAGCATCATGCCTGGGAGAAAGGTCCACGAAGGAAAGATGATGCTAAGTGGAAAGAATTAGCGCAGGGACTCCAACAAGGGGCTCAGACACAGCAGACGCTCAGAATGCCACCAGATCAGGCAGGGTTTCGCCCTCTCAACACAAGGTCGTGATGTGGAGGAGGCGACCTCACAGCACTTACAACATTTACTTGTGTTTCCCTTGTGAGGAAGAGCTCTGAGTGCAGGACCAGGCTCAGTCAGTTTGGTAACCTTAGTATGTCAGACACGCTCTGCACATAGTAGATGTTCAGTTCACAGCTGCTGAAACAAATAAGCTAAACTAACTGATTTAGAATGTTCCTATTGTAAAGTTTAAAGGGTACAAAGATTCTACCATATTTTCCTCATATAATGCACCCAGGTCTTTGCAATCACTTGCTATGTGTCAGAGAGCTGGACAATCACTAGGGATGATAGAAAGAGAACTGATGCCTTTGAGCTGTGGTGCTGGAGAAGAGTGGTGAATATACCATGGACTGCTAGGAGAACAAACAGGTTCGTCCTGGAGAGGGTGAAGCTGGGCTGCTCCTTGGAATCAAGGATTCTGAAGCTTCGTCTGACATACTTTGGTCATGTTGCAAGGAGGGACCAGTCCTTAGAAAGGGACGTCACGCTTGGGAGGGTGAAGGGACAGTGCAGGAGAGGAAGACCCTTGATGAGGTGGATTGACTCAGTGACTGGGGGGATGGGGGTAGGTGTGTCAGAGACAACAAGATTGGCACAAGATAGAGCAGGGTTTAGGGCTGTTGTACATAGAGTAGCAAGCAACTCGATGACGGCACATAACAAAAACACCACCACACCCGATAAATTACACACACAGGCAGATAATGCACAAACTGTGCAAAGGAGTCTAACATAGGCGTGGGCTGCATGCTTTGCAAATACCACATACTATTTTTTTTTAATTGTGTGTGTGTGTACTGTCAAATCTATCTGAAAGGTACAGGAGGAGATTGCCTCTCCTTCTCCAGCAGAGCATCTGGTGGATTCGAACCGTGTACCCATGGGATTGCAGTGCAGCTTCTTGCCACTACGTCACCAGAGCTCTCCACCGCACACTATTTCTATAAAATACCATAATTCTCTCTCTGATGAAATGTTTATAAACATAATTTTGGAAGAAATTTAGAGCATTCTCCCTGACAAAAATCTTCGTGAATCACAATTATGTTTATGAGCTAAGAAACTCTCTTTCTACTGTAAATCTCACAGAATAAATGAAAATATATTTTAAAGATCAGGTTTTTTTTCTGTCAAAAGACTCTGATCTCAAGAATGAAAAGATACTTTTATTGTAATTACTCATAACACAGCAAATGCCCTTCAGCTGTAGTCACTCATTACTTACCGGTGTCTCCGTTGCACAGGTGATAAAAAGCGCATGGATTCAGTGGAAGAGTTCTTTACAAACCTGAAAAATATATAAGAGCCCACAAAT